ATACTGACATAAATGAACATTTGCACGATATTCTAATTTTTCGAGTTTCACCTGTACAGTAATACTTTTTTAAAGTACCCATATATCTAGTATATACTCACAGATAAGCTCATCTGCAGATAAGATGACCCTCAAATCTTTAACCAAAATACCTTGAAAAATGGATAATCCATGGATTACCCACAGATAAACCAATTGTGAACATTAAAACATACAAAAATTTTGAGGGTCGGCCTATCCACGGGTGGCACATTTTTCATGTTATTTTGGTTAAAAATTCAAGGGTCAGTTTATCCACAGATGGGCTGATCTGCAAGTATATATGGCAACTTCAATTTCCCAGATTGATTAGGGTCACAGTCATGCTTACAGCCATTTCAAATACATTTGGCCAGCTCAAAATCACTCCTTATAGCCCAAATCAAATCAATCCCTTTATATCGAAGCCTGCCAAGAAACATTGTTTTATTATTATTAATATTATTGTTCATATCTTAAAAAAAACAGAATTTGTCTGTGATGAGATCTTATTTTCTCTCTTAGTATTTCCAGGGTGCTCTCTGTGGCACCTGAGGAGAGCCCAACACACTTAAGCCATTTTAGAAACCAGCCTGCAGATTAAAAATATAAGATCAATAGCATTCTTCTCAGCAAGTCAACTGACCCTTGATTTAATAGTTGAGGTTAGTTTTTGTTTTCCTTGGGAAACAAAGCTCTAAAGCAGAGGAGTCTAGAATGAGAAGGTGCCCAAAACTTATGGGCCCTACTCCAACATTGTGGAAATTGCTAAACACAGCTTATGAGCTGGGAGGCAACTAGTTTTGACCCCAATGTTGTATACATGTCCACCTGTCATATGAAGGCCCTCATGTTTATGTTGAATATGTGGGTATCTGCAACAGCACCTATGATATGCATTATGATATGCATGATGTTGGAGGATCTTCCAGCTTGCCTGTGAAATCAGCATTTCAGGAATGCTTGAAGAGCAGACCTAAAGTTTTCTTTCCAACAATTTTAGTTTTATAACATGGAGATGATGCGTTGCCTATCAGTCTTGTACTCCAAAGACTAGTTGGCATAACTCCCTTTCTAATGCACTGGAACTCCCTGACACATCTTTTGAATTCTCAAAATTCAAAATGTAGACCATTCCTCAACCCCAGCAATGTTTAAACAAGTCGGGATATGGAGAGGGGACAGCCTTCACCCAATGATGGATCTTACCAAGTGTTCCACAGTTAGACTCAAACCAAGGTGGAAATGTGGTAAGAGTGAGTGGGTAGCCTAAATAAGGTTGCCCGAGGTAGAGAAAGGGACTTGGACAAGACAAATATGTTTTCAGGTTCATTCTCCAGGTGATAGATCCTAAGGGATAGAAAGAGAGCTAGAGTGGTTCCATTATTTTTAAGGAGAACTGGAGGAACCCAGTTTAAATTCCATCCAGTTGTGAAAGCCACAATGAACTTTTTTCCAGTGTCCTTCTCTCCATTTAATTCATCTAACATTACTGCGTAGGAATAAAGTGGGCAATGAAGAGAAGAACCATCTATACCATGAAGCTCCTTGGAAGAAAGAGAGGAGGAGGAGGA